AAATGAACTAATAAATGGGGGAACTAGGACGTGGCAGAATAGTGAGTAATATAGTTAACCCACTGTGATATTACTTCGTTGGCGAGAAATGGCTTGAATATAAACTGAAAATCGGGCATGAGGTCTCACCATTTTTTAAACTTTGGCATTATACATCCGATATGCGCTTACTATGTCGTGTGTGTGAGTGGGCTTTTGACTGGAATGTATGCGTCGTGCTCAACGCCTATACACACATTTGAAAAACGAGATGGGTAAATTCGAATGTGAACAGATCAGTGCTATGGGTGTGGCCTCGCAGCTCAGCTGCTAGAGCGTGCGCATACGAAGCGTGGGCAGCGTCCATGCGTGGGTTGGAATCCCACCGAGGCTACTGACCTTTTCACAATCGACATACAAACTTCAAATCTGCCAAACAACAATTTGAACAAACTCACTGCACGTCATTTTCAGTGTTTTTTGTTTGTTTATTTTTCGAAATGCATACAGAGGCTACATTCATTTATATCACTGACGTTGGCTCGACGCCACATCCCGCATTGTCTCCAGCCGAAGAATAATCTGAATCTTTGGGGTCCCAGTCGGAGGACCGGGAAACCCAAACGGAAGCCAGATCCGAGCAGAGTCTCTTTAACCCTCTGCGCCACATCATAGCCTGTCCACCTTGCTGTTTCTCCCAACTTGGACCAATGTCTGCGAATAGTGCACGGTGTGGCAGACGTTGATCAGGCATTCGTAAGACGTGCCCTAACCACCTAAGACGATGCTGTGAATTACCTTGCTCAACGGAAGACTAACTGAACCTACGATACGTTGTCTGACTACAGTTATTTACATACCATACACGGATGATGTTGCGCAGTCTTCAAGGACAGGATAAAGTTCTCTCTAATCGACTGGAGCCCTGACAACAGTCGTTCATGTGCAGTGCGTCTCCAGGGTTCAGTCAGCATCCGGAAGGGAAGCAACACCAAAGGGTATTTGATCATCGTACCGGCATACGCACCGACCAATTACTGTTCTGATACTCAGAAGGTGGCTTTCTACGAGGAACTCATCGATCTCATGCGGCTGGATTGAAGCTCCGAAATAGTTGTACTTGCCGGTGACTTTAACGCGCAAGTTGGAAAACTGAGCGCATCAGAAGCCTGTCTAGGCGGAAGTTGTGCTCTGTTCTGCCAACGAACAGATAACG